CAAACAGCCTGATAACTCATGCAAGGAGAGGTCACCTGCAGAGGCAAATGGTGGTCACACCAGAACTGATGGTCTTCTGATTCACGGCCCTACCTTTAAAAAAAAGTTATCGTGACCAACAGTAAAATTTTTTGAAATCCATAGATTAGGGCCTAACTAATTTATTTAATTTGCCCGATTCCTTATATGAAATGTATCTTGAAATTGTTGCATGTTGTATGAACCGAATCTTTGAAATTGTTGCATGTTGTGTTGATATTTTGTTCAGAATATATTGTTACTTCTGGGGACACGCATTGGGCTAGGCTACTGGGCTAGGCTACTGGGCAGGCTACGGGTTTAGGCTAGGGCTAGGCTACTGGCTAGGCTACTGGGCTAGGCTACTGGGCTGGCTATGGGCTGGCACTGGGCTGGGGGCTACTGGCTAGGCTACTGGGCTGGGCTACTGGGCTAGGCGGGCTGGGCTAGGGCTACTGGGCTAGGCTACTGGGTAGGCTACTGGGCTAGGCTACTGGGTAGGTACTGGGCTGGCTACTGGGCTAGGCTACTGGGTAGGTACGGGCTAGGCTACTGGGGCTAGGTACTGGCTAGGCTAATGGGCTAGGCTACTGGGCTAGGCTAACTGGGCTAGGTCCCTGGGCTAGGCTACTGGGCTAGGCTACGGGGGCTAGGTACTGGGCTAGGCTACTGGGCTGGTACTGGGCAGGCTACGGGCTAGGTACTGGGCTAGGTACTGGGCTGGGGCTACTGGGCTGGATCTGGCTACTGGGCTAGGCTACTGGGCTAGGCTATGGGCTGGGGTACTGGGCTCGGTATGGGTAGGCTACTGGTTCAAGAGGAATAGAGAGAGGATGGAAGAGAGAGCCAGGGGGAGAGGGCAGGGTTGTGCAAGGAACAGTAAATTTACAGATTTGTGTAAATCAGAAGTTAATTCATAGCTGGGATATTAATCACCATCGTATGCTAGCCTATACCGAGGTGTGCAAAACATTAAGAAACCCCTTTCCCTTTAATATTGAGCTGAAAAACCCAAATGCATGCAGTTTTGACACAAACCGGTGCGCCTGGGCCTACTTTCCATACCCTGTTCAAAAGCACTTAAATATTTTGTCTTGCCCATTCACCCTCTGAAGGCACACATACACAATCCATGTCTCAATTGTCCAAGTCTTAAAAAATCCTTCTTTAACCCGTCTCCCCCTTCATCTACACTGATTTGGAGTGGATTTAACAGGGACATCATAAGGGATCATAGCTTTCACCTGGATTACCTGGCAGTCTTTCATGGAAAAAGCGTTGTTTGTAACTGTTTTTTACACTCAGTGTACATTAGCCTGGCTACTACAGTGAGTTTAGGTGACCAACACCTGTGCTAGCAAGCCCGATCTTTGTCAGTTATTAAAATGTGCAATAACAAAGTATGTGCCTAGGCCTTTTTAAAGAAACCTTGGGGTGTTGATGTAGGCAACAGATCGCAAAGCA